GACTCAGTTCATTTCCATCATTCTCAGGTTTTTGGGAAGACAGGAAACCATCAGTCTTTGAAACTAGATTTCCCTAACACAATTTTGGGATGCAAAATACACTATTGATGTTGTTTCCAGTTACTTGTACGTGGTGGCCCTGAATAAAATTGAAGAACATAGGGACCGTGGTCTGCTGAGGTTGGAGCTCCAATATAACATCCCTAAAATACCTAAGACACTGAGCCTGAAGGCTGCCTAGGAAGTAGCCATCAAAACGCGCTTGGATGAAAGACATCATGCAGCTTCCACCTCCGCCTCAGAGAAGATGCAATCATCATCTAAATGTTCATCGTTAAGCAGGTGATAAATGGCAGAACAAGCAGAAAAGTGTTACTTTTGCATATTCCTTTTGAGAGCTACAGGAACGAACCTACAGCGTGGTCTACAGGGAATCTGGTGAGATGTCTTTCATTTGCCAACCACAAAGGTAGACTCCACAAGAAAAAGGAGCTACCCTACATGTCCCTAAAGGACCTTGCAATGGGCTCTGGCTCACCACAAACCTAGAATCATCTCCATTACAATGGTCACTTTGTAATGTGGATATACACAGCCTGCAATCAAAAGATATAAATGAATATCCACTGGATAACGTTGATATTTGCAATTAACACTAAAATCGTTCAGCTTTCATAAGCTGAAGATGTGTCTGTATTTTCGTTTCTTGTTGATACTACAAAAAAGAAAAAGGAAGCACTGTAAAACCTTTTTCCTCCTGAAGTACAAGGAAATCATTGTATGATGTTCAAGCTGGAAGTCTACCTATCTCTCAATAACAAAGAAAGGTGAGAAAAGATGCTGAAAGGTACAGAACACACAGATTGGAAGGTGCCCAAACCAAGCCCAAAACAGAGCAGATCCTGCACAACCTGTTCCTAAGTAACTAAAAGAAAAGGCATGTCAAAACTTGATGAGGGAAGAACGGGATTTGCTCACACCTCACAGGCTCACCTTCAAAGGTGTTGTTCAAGACAGGGGGTGTGAAGAAGAGAACCATTACAGCTCCCTGCTACACTAGTGCTGTTTAAGGCAGCTCTGAAACTACATTGTCACAACTCCAGCTGAAGTCTAGAAGTTGAGGGAGATCCCTGGAAAACAGGCCTCTCTTTGGATACTGCAAGGAATACTCAAAATTGGCTAAATGCCACTTTTGAATCTGAATGAATTTCGGGTCCTGCCCATTTTGTGCCAAAATCCTCCTAGCCTTCATAGAGTATGCAATCAAGTGCTACCTATCAGATTGTAAGATACGAGTTGATGCAAGAAAGTACAAGATTTACACATGATGTTAGGAGCTGTTGGGAGAGGTGTAAGAAACAAGGGGATGCTGAAGTTCATCGAATATCTCTAAAGGAAGTCACATGGTGAGCAAATCTGTCAAAAACCTGATGACTGGAGAGAGCAAAAGGCACTTGCCAATGCGCTAGGAACCGGGGGCTGCACCATGGTGGGGATGCTCTCCTGGACTGCTCAGCTCAACCATTACATGATAGGTGTGTTTAAGCTGAATTAGACTCTCCAGATGCCCCAAGGTTATAACAAACCTGTCAAAGCCTTCAGTTTATCTTAATAAGCCAGGCTTAAATCAGCACAGTCTAGGTGCCAGCTCATAAGCAGATCAGCCAGGGCTGCCTCAGGGATGGGATGAGCATTTGGCAGCAATAACAGCTTCAGTCATATAATTTTTATCCATCACCACTAGTCTATCAGAGCTCCAGGCCACCAACTCCTCCTGAGATGAATTCCAGAGGGTTTTAGACCAGACATAGGCAGATAGACATTAATAGAGACGCAACCACCTTGAGAGCTTTTAGGTTTGAATGGAGGCACCTATGAATGGATACGCTATCGTGGCTGGGCAATTAGTAACTGGATGGGCTTCTGTATCACAATTGTGAATCTAAGCGCTGTTAAGTCCATGCAAGTCCTGCTACAGGCGTGAAAGTTTTGGGCCAGGAGACAAAATAACCTTTCACTTGCCTGAATATATGTGCACTTCATCTGATAATATTCAAATCTCTTTAGCTACTTTATAATGAGGTTAAAGCAAGAAAAGATTTCCCCACCCCAAATACTACAAATGTCAGTAATGCGAACAGTAAAAATGTCACCACACGGAGAAAAGAGTGAAATTAGCATATTTAGAGAAGTATTATACCCATGAGTGAAATAATGCAATCAGCTAGCTGCAAGATAAAGCTAATTTGGTTTCCAACAGTTTATCAACAATGCACTGCTCCTTTACATTAACAAATTTAAATGGTACCATATCCTGCAAACAAGAATAATTCACACAGAATATTACACTGTGTTAATTAAATAGCTGGAATAGAAAAGGTCAGGCCATTACTGAAAGATGCGCATATGGGTTGTGAAGCTATGAAAAGATGGAGCGATTTCAAATCAAGCAATTAAAATATTTAAATCATGATTAAGTCAACAGTAAATACACCTAGATCTTCTGAGCCTATTTTGACAGCTCCTTTCTTTTCTTGCTGTTCCTCAGAAATTTCTCTTTCTTGCTGACCCATGCAAGAGTCAAAATATCTTTAAACCCATCATGAGATAAGGCGGCTTGGATAAGTTATCAAAGAGTTATCTTGATTATATTCAAGTTTTCATTTTACTATGCAGGTAGTCAGAGCCAAGAGGCAAGTTTTGCAGTTAAAGGACACTGCAAAGCCCCACTTGCCTGATTTCTGGATGGGTTTCCTGCCACTAGAACAACTAAGAAACCCCCACAATTACTACAGTTAATTGAAAAATGCTCAAAGAGAGAAATATTTTTTCACTTTGTTTACTTCTGCAAATGACAGCACTCTGTCTTTGGCACAATGCCACCAAATCAATTAAATTATAGTAGTAACATAGCCATTTTAGATTGAAAGAACATTTTGGCATGGGCTAAACAATGCTGAGGTGGTAATATATGAAAAAGACCTAGTAAAACAGGGAATTAATCTTACTTGGAGCCCCAAAGTGGTACTGGAATATGCATCGGTCACAACCAAATCTGAATCTCGTCCAATACTTTTTACTGTATTTTCGTCATTACAGTTTTACACGGCAAGCTCAAATTTTAGTTTGTTACTATCTGTATGTCCCCCCGTTATTTAATTGTGCATGAACTTTATTTTTCCTGGGGAATTTCCTGAACTTTTCTAGACAAAATATTATTTTCTTTTAGATCATAGTTCTGCTGATTTCAGTTGGTGTAAACTTCCTTTTTGCACCTTCAGTGCAACTTTGAATTCGAACCTCAGTCTAGCAAAGAGAGCTGTGTGGGCTAAACAAAACGCAATGTCTGTATGTTTTGGAAAGAATTTCATGGCAGTGTCTGCTTTTGGCTGCAAAACCGTGGGACAGGCACCACGTGTGAAATTCAGCTGTGTGCTGCCCAGCACATCAACAGTTATGGCACTGACACTGGATCTAAAACTAGCCCGCATGGACCCCACTGTTCAGCTCTCCCCAATTAAGCACACAAGCATTTATCAAGCCAACTTCCAGACTTTGTGACAGAATGCCTAAGCAAGCCAAACTGAAACACCTAGTTTTTTCGCGGAAGATGAAGCGTTGTGCAGCATACGAGCCATTAATTTTACGACAAGTGCAGATGGTAGATATACAGATAAATACTCATGCAACCTAATGGAATGAATATATACTTCAATCTATTTACATGATAATAGTTTCTAATGAGCTTAGTGTAGCCCACATGATGGTATATTCATCCGAATGATTTTAAAATGGATTTCAGCGCAGGCTGTAACTGACTCCTGCTGGGTTCTTTCCCCCCAGTTTGGGCCATGGCCGATTTGTACCCCGCTCAACACAAGACAATTTACTTCTCCCTTTAAAAGGACAGATACCTCGGAGAAGCTCCGCCGCAGTGTCTCCTCGCGGGCGGGTACCCCCACCTGCTGAAGGGCCAACCTAGCTCAGCCCTACGCGACCGCAGCGCTACCGGGCCCACGCCCGAGAGGGACGTTTCGGAGGAGGGGCTGAAGGAGCGGCGTGGAGGCCTCGCTTCGCCTCCCCACCCCCCAGGCCCGCGGCCTGGAGACGAGC